TATTAGTTTGAGAAGAGGAAAGAAAATTATTTTAGTTAATTATTTGATGGAGTTGTCATCTTAAAATTAGAAAAAAAAAATCATGACAAGCATGCAGAATAAACATGAATATAATATCAACAATTTAAGTAATTAAGTAATAATTTTATTTTAATAAAAATAAAAAATTTTAAATTTAAATTATGACATATAAGTGAAATAATATAAATGATAACAAAAAATTATCTCTCAATTATGCAACCAACATAAAAAAAAAAAAAAAAATTTAAGTAATTAAGTAATAATTTTATTTTATTAAAAATAAAAAATTTTAAATATAAATGATAAAAAAAAATTATTTCTCAATTATGCAACCAACATAAAAATTAAAAAAAAAAACATAATATTTGATGAAGTAAATTTTTGTTATTAACTTAACCGCCCTCGTATACAGGACACAAGGGTATATATACAAATGGTAATTATACAAACAAATAAAATCAATTTACTTTGGGAACTAAGGAAATTTATAGAATCAAAAGCCGGACGGGTTTAATTAAGGGAAAATCAGTGCCCGTGACTGCAGTCATCTTAGTTTATTCCAAAAAATTACCGGTAACACACAATGCACACCATCCAAACCCAAATCGAAATCCAAAGTGGAAGTAGAATTGTGCCCCCTAATTTGTAGCAGAAATTGTATCCACTTTCCAATACGATTCCGTGCACTGTTTTGGTGCACGTAAACGATTGTGATTTCTGCAGGAAAATTTTAGTTACCGTCTGGTGTCCTGGTGTCCTGTTGAGGCAAGAGCAAGGGCCTGATCCTGTTGTTCCACATCTCCCTGTACAGCCTGCAATCTCCACTCATCTTCTTTGCCTCCACAACCACCAGCTCATCGGTTAACCCGTACACCTCCACTGCCATCATCAGATTTCCATTTCGTCCCTCCAACTCAACCCCGAATTCTTTCTTCTTTTTAACCCGCAAATTTTCCGACTTTGCAATCTCCTCTACTTTCTCCACTAATTTCAGGGGAGGTTCTGCGGATATGAACCGGTCGTCATCCTCCGCACAATTGTAGGAGTTATCAAACAATCCAGACAGATTCAAACCAGAAGAGAAAGAAATCAAATCGAATGCGTTCATGTTGGTAATGGTAGTGTATTCCTCTTTATCGCCCGTAGTGGCAAAACCACAATCGTCGTATAAATCGGGTTCTTTGTAACCTTTCCTGAACCAGGGGTCTTTCAGAATCTCATCCACTGTGATCCTGGTGTCGGGGTTGGTGTCCAGGAGTCGACGAAGGAATCTCTTCAGATCGGGAGAAATCCATTTGGGACACCGAAATACCCCTGTGTAAATCTTCTTATACAGCATCATCAGATTCGGGTCGTTGAAAGGTAAGAAGCCCGCATTCAGGACAAAGAGGATTACGCCGCACGACCACACATCCACCTTAGCTCCGTCGTACCCTCTCTTCGTCAGGATCTCCGGAGCAACGTAAGCAGGGGTCCCACACAAGGTGTGCAGAAGCCCATCCGGTCGGATCTGCTCGGTTACCGCACTGAGTCCGAAATCCGAGACTTTCAAATTCCCCTCGTCGTCGACCAGTAGATTCTCTGGTTTCAAATCACGGTGGAAAATTCCACGAGCGTGGCAGTACCCGACGGCGGAGATGAGCTGTTGGAAATATTTGCGGCTGAGATCCTCGCTTAATCTCCCCTTCGCGACTTTAGCAAATAATTCCCCTCCCTTGACGATTTCCATGACGAAATAAATCTTAGATTTGGTAGCCAAAACCTCATGAAACTTGACGATGTAGGGGTGATTAAGGCGACTCATAATGGAGATCTCGCGCTTGATGTTGGACATGAGGCTGGAGCTGGACAGCTTCTTCTTGTTGATGACCTTAATGGCAACGCTCTGTCCGGTGCGGATGTCGCGGGCGTGGTAGACCTTGGCGAAGGCGCCGCAGCCGAGGAGCCTGCCCAGCTCGTATTTGCCGAACATGGCATTGTCAGGTACATGTTCGATCTCTGGCATGACTTTCAGGGGCCAGAGATCGAACGGTGGAAGACGGAAAGGAAGATTGAATTCTCAGACGGTTGGTGGTGCAGAGAGAGAAATCAGGGATTTAGATGGGATGAACTGTAGGAGAAAATTGATAAATTTTTTAAAAGCAGGATTCAAAGCTGCGGAATTAACGGATGGTCGTGGGCCGAGCTACCTGTTTATATATTGATGAGGGAAGTCGGAAGGAAAGGAGGTCTTTAACTCTCCAATCTCTGTCTCAATACGCGCCAGAAGGGAGAATAGAATATAATTAAAACGAAAAAGAATAAAACAATAGTCAATAAAGTTTCCGTGTTTTAGTGTTTATTCTGTGCTGGTGCTTTAAATGCTTTAAATATTTTACAAAATTATTTAAATATTTTTAATAAAATTTTTATATATTAGTATATTACAAATATTTTAATTTTATTATTATTATTAAAATATTTTAAATATTAAAATATCTCAATTTGTTTAATTTTTTTATTTATTGAAATGCTTTAATATATTAAAGATATATGATAAGTATATTTTTTTTATTATAAATTTTTATAAAAATTATAAAAATTAATATTAATTTTAATATTATTGTTAGATAAATAAATTTAATTAAATAATTAAAAATTAAATTTTTTTAATATATATTTATGATAAAAGATATATTCTAAAAACAAGTTAAAAAAAACTTATTTATTATTATTTTACTTTTCGATTCGGGTTTTTGTGGTTGGCACTGTCGTGGCAACATTCTATGGGTTTCTCGAAACCCTTAGCCCACTTTTCTTTTTCTTTTTCTACTTTTTTTGAACTGAAGCTAAAAAAACTGTGAGCTCTCTTTAAAAATAACAGAAGGACGCGTGTCAGATTGTTCATTCCTTTAAATTTTAATAACTTTTTTAATATGTGATTTTAAAATATATTTATGATATAATATTATATAAATTTATTTAAAAATTTTATTCATTATATATATTTTACTATATTAGATATATTTTATTATTTAATGACAAATAATGATTGTAATAATAGAATTGTTAAACAAAAAACTTAAAATTAAATTCAATTGCCAATCTAATTAGAATTTTTTTTTAGCTCATAATTTCTCGATTTAGTTGATTTGTCGTTGTCAGGGAATTACTATTAATTAATGGAAGTCAAATTAGGAATATAATAATGGAGGAGATAGGGTTAAACTGCCAAAAGCACACGCATAAAACGTGCACATATGAAACTTGAGTTGAAAGCGGCATCTGTGTGTATAAATGTATGCCGACTTAATTAATTAATTTTATGAATTATAGACAGTCGAATTTGTGCACTGGCCCTGAGGCCTAGTGGGCATAACCTCTTTCGGTAGGGTTCAAAACCTGACCTTGCAAAATATGTTCAAAAAAAAATTATAGACAGTCGAATTTGCTGAAGAAAGTTTAATTTTGGTTTTCAATATATATATATAGGGATTCACTAACATCCCGTGTAGCAGACTGGCAGGTGCTTGGCGACCTGATGAGCTTTAATAATTATCACATATGATTGTTAGGTTTGATACCGTTTTCAGCTTGGACTGTTCGCTTTCAGAGTAGGGATCGCAATTTGCTCCCAAACCCGTGGGACTTTGTGGAACCCCTGTCGTAGAGATGGGGTGGAAAGTAATATTCTTTATCACGAGTAGGGATGGGGTTTTTTTTTTTTTTTGTGAAATTTTATAGGAAACTTTTTTTATGATTTTTATTTTTGTAAAAAATTTAAGAAATATATAAATTAATTTTATTTTAAATTCAATTCAACTTTTAAATTTAAACTCAATTCAATAAAAATTAAATTTAATCTAATTTTACTTAATCCAACTCAACATTTTATTAACCTTACATTTATATATGTTGAATTGTTCTTTTTTTATATTGGATTATTTTTTATTTATATTTAGACAATTTATATTTAATTTTATATTTAAAAA